TATCGAGAAGCTAGATTCGAGAAGCTGTATCGAGAACTTCAGTATCGAGAAGCTAAGTTCGAGAACTTAGTTTCGAGAACTGAGTGTCGAGAAGCTGTTTCGAGAACCTGCAATTCGAAAACAGAGTTTCAAATATTTAGTATCGAAAACCGAGTATCGAGAAAGCAATCTCGAGAACTCAGTTCGAGAACTCGTATCGAGAACGTAGTATCGAGATCCTGCAAATCAAAAGTTCAGTTTTAAACAGTTTAAACAACTTTTCAGAGAAGTTTTCGATCTCGAGATTCTTCCTGTAGAGTTTTCAGCCCGAAAAACCTGCTTATATGTCGAAAACTCTGCTTTTCGACATCATACTATCGAGAAATAAAAAAATATCAAGTTTACTGAAATCGAAAGATAAGATATACCCTTGGTTCGTTTTTGAACGACGAATCCAATGGTATAACTTTTACAGTGTATCGATCAGAAACAGGATTACAATGATTAAAACAGAGAAATATCGAAAAGTATGAAAACAGAGAAACTTCGAAAACTTCTTCGCGGCTGATCAAACTCGAGCAGGCTCTGATACCAGTTGTTGGTCCCAGTTTATGCAGACTAACACACAACTAGATGGATTTCATCGATAAACAGAGAAGAAGGATTTCACAGAATGATATTAGAGGTTATCGAGGACAACGAAATCTTCTTTCTATTATATCGAGAAGAATTTGTGCAGCGTAAGGCTAATGTGTATTGATCGATATCGGTACCTGTACACAAGGCGCATATTTATAGGCGCTGTACAGGTTACCGATTTAGGTAAACCTTGAGGTTTGGGCCTAGGCCTTTTTGGGCCTTATTCCCTTTAACCTATTTATTACATAATGATTACTAATCTAATACCATAAATGGTATAACTAGTCTACTTTATTAAACAAGACATTACAGACAAACTTGACTCACAATAAAAGTTCTAACAATATCTACATGGGTTGGGTTTGACTTTGTATCAGATCTGGTAGGAATGAACAAAGTATTTGGCAACAACTGGTTTTAGGTCAAGACCTGTATTGTGTAGAATTTAGAAACCTTTAAGATGCCTCTGTTAGTGCCGTGGTGTAAAAAAGTGACCCAAAAACCTTACATGTGTGCCTTTTTGGTCCATTTGAAAGATTAGTGGTTTATTTGAACTTTATCCATAACTTTAGTGGTCAATTTGCACCTTCTCCCTTTAAAAAATGCTTCTAGAACTTTTAAAAAAATGCTTCTAGAGAAATTTGAACAGGTTAGGAGTACTTTTATATTTTTATTCAAACACTCCATATTGCTCCTGCTAGTCGAAAGAGCTGAAACAGTTTTAATTTTAAGGGAGTGTTTGCGATTGTTTGTGCTTTATAAAAGTGATTTTTTAAGAGATTATTGGAAAAGTGATTTATAGTAAAAGTAGGTAGTGTTTGAGAATAGAAGTGATTTTAATAGAAATGTAAAAGTTGGAGTGTTTGATAAAAAAGTGATTATTGATGTAATATGTAGTTAAAATACAAAAAATATTCATGCCTAAATTTAATAGATAATTCAAATAAAAAAATTAATGGAAGAATGAAGGATGTGTCCCCTATCTTTCTCTCTCGCTAGTGAACCCTCTGGCCACAAACACGCAGGTCGCCGGATTATTCCGCCATCCTTCACGCTACCGGACGCCGATTTCATCCCATTACACCAGCAACTAACATTAGAATTGGGACTTGCGGACTCGATGAAGCCAATTGCGTGCAACCCAAAGCCAACCCATGTGCACGCTTTCTCTTCCCAGATTTGCTGCAAGTACAGTGAAGTAGCCACTTTGGCTGCAAATATATATTCCGTATATATGTTACAGTGTAGAGAAGAAAGAAGGAAGAAACAGATGCCTATTGCGGTGTCGACTGTCGAGAAGATAGAAGGGGCACTTTTGGTTTAATTGAAAATTTTGATCTAATAATTATCCCCAAAGTTCCAATTATTTACTAAAGTACCTAGAAGCAGAAAAAAGCATCCCAATGGCTACTTCCAGCTTTTCACTTAAAAGTACTTAAATTAAGCAAAAGTTCTCATTTGCAAACACCATTTTAGCTTTTTAAAAGCCAAAAATGGAAAAAAGAGTTTTTTAAGCAATGGTAAACACTGCTTAAGTAGACTCAAACACCTCCTAATGTGCAAGCTTTTTAAAAATTGCTTCTAGAAGTATTTTGCATTTTGGAAGCTTGGGAAGTACTTTTGCATTTTCACTCAAACACTCCAACTTCTACTCTCTCAAAATGCAGAAACAGTTTTAATAATCAGATCTAAACATCCTCATAATTTTACAGTTATGTCAGATAGTATCTCTATCTTTGATTAGCAATTTTGGTAAATTATATTGCACAGTCGATTGTACCATGTCACGGTATATTCACACTTTTTGGTGCAGTTGCGTTTAACTCATCACCATTAAACAAATGGACGGTTCGACACTCGCACCCGCATTCGCCGCTTGCACCCCAAACAGATGGTTCGCTGCTAGATGTATGGCTCGTTGTATGCACCCAAACGTAGGTCGGATTGGAGTTCTTCACGGCCAAATTGGAACATCTTCACGTGGTCTCAATGCTCAATGGTATAAACACATGATACTCAATGAAGATGTTTTGATGCTCAATGCAAATTCTAATGTTCAATGAAAATGTTTGAGCACATACTCTCAAAGCTCAATAGTAGAGAACATGGTACTCAATGAAGATGTTATTATGCTCGATAAGGATATTTTCTTTTGGACTGGAATTTACCGGTCTGGTAAATGTATGATCTTTGTGTATTTTATAACTACGAAAGTCTGGTTTGATCTGATCTGGTCTAGTCTGGTCTGATCTGGCCTAGTCTAGTCTGATCTGGTCTGGGACTGAAAACACCCCAAAAGAAAACATCCTAAGTTTTGAGAAATTTATTTTATACTCATTTGCAGAGTTCAATGCTCAATAGGGGAGACTCGATGCCCAATGCAAATATATTGATACTCAACTATAGAGCTTATTATTGTCATATCAATGCATATTTCAAGTATAATATTAAATTCGATCCGCATTGTTGGGATATACTATCCCGATTTGTTACTGTTCAGGAGCTCTAGACTTTCCCCCGTTACGGGCCTGATCAGTGAGACCCATTTCGGCCCATCCAGCCCACTTTGGGCAAGCAGGCCCACTTTGGCCTGTTTGGCCCATTGTGGTAGAAGGCACTCCCTTCCCCCTTTTCCCTATAAATAGAGAGTTTTGCCTCCATTTGAAGGATCCTTTTTCGATTGGCTTCTCTTCTCCTTCTCCTCCTTCTTCCTCCTCCTCCTCCTCCTCCTCCTCCTTCTTACTTACCTTCTCTGGATTCTGGAATAAATTGAATAGTCCATTAATGGGAGATTGTATTATGTAACATTAATGAAGAGAATATCAATGAGAATGAGAGTGACTTGGACATTAGTCAAAAAAATCTCGTGATTTTCTCTCTTTCGGATTTCTACGTAAAGATCGAGAACTCATACAAATTTATATCTATATTTATTATATCGTATTGGATTAAACTCAACATACGTAATAAAATCAATATGAGTTGATTATAGATACGTAGTATAATTTAAGAAATTTGTTTACGAGAAAAACAAGAAAAAGAAAGTAAATTAGAAGATGTGAAACATAATGTATGATGCTCAATATTAGACTCCCAATACTCACTAGAACATGCTTGATGAAAAAAGTAATTTGTATATAGTATATATACAAAATCAGTTGAACATGAATAACTTTAAAGTATACTGTTTTAAAAAAAAGTACAATTCTCAACTATTGGACTTTCAAATACAAATCTTCCAACAAGTACCTTAACAACTATTATAAGTGTAAAAATCCAGAGAAGCAATAAACTAAAAATGGAATGTCAAACTTTAGAAGTTCAAGATATATAATAGTATAAATTATATATGAGCTGGATTTCCATATTGCATACTAGTAATAGTATTGTTATTGTTATTTCTTTTTATTTTAAAGTTTCCTACATACGGCTTTGACGCAATATTAAAGTAGAAAAGTACTATGGACAATAAACCGTGTAGAAACAGTAGGAAATAATGCGTAGAGAAAGTAATAGTAATCGAATATTTTTAAAGGAAAAATTTACCGAAAGAGGGAAATAGAATAAACTTTTAAAACATTTGAACAATATAACAAACTTTAAAATAAGAAGGACCTATAATACTACATAATAATTATTATTCAAATATATTTGAATAATTTTTGAATCAAATATAACAATATTAGATTACTAGAATCGAAATTATTATTTTTATTAAGAAATATTACACATTTAAAACTAAAATAAATATTGTTTACAAAAATATGACCAATGATTAAAACAATAATAAAATCACAGTAAACTATGACCATCATACTACGTTATAGGAGGTAAGGGTTAGATTGGTACTTGAAGTTGCATAAAAAGGGTCAAATAAGTCCTTATATAGGCAGTTCTGTCCGGCCGTCGCCATTTGGGGCGGTTCCCGGTGGAATTTTTTGACGAAATATTTTGAGCATCTTATTCATTAAGTCTAGTTTACTAATACCAAATTTTAGCTAAAAATTCAACCGGGAAGACATTCAAATGAATTCTTGAAGATAACTACGCAGTTAAAAACGCAGTTATCTTCAAGAATTTATTTGAATGCCTTCCCGATTGAAGTTTTAGATGAAATTTGGTATGAATAAACTAGACTTAATGAATAAGATGCTAAAAAAATTTCATCAAAAAATTCTGCCGGGAACCGCCTCAAATGGCGACGGTCATACAGTAAATACTTATTTGACCCTTTTATATAACTTCGAGTACCATGACCCTTACCTCTATATTATAGTAACTACGGGTGACATTTGCGTAAATCAATTTTATTTTAGTAAATCAATTTTAGTGATCAATTTTTTGAAAAAACTCATATTTATATTGTTATTTGAGCCTGTGAGGGGCTAACTTCGTACTTGCTCTCGTCATCTCTAACCTCTAGGGGCGCGCCACCGGCCCACCACCACAGTATCATGGAATCCTGCAAGACCCACTGATAGACTAATCTTGCACACCGATTTCCTACGTCCATTATATGCTCTCATCTCTCGCCTGCATATATACACAGATATAAGGCATACACACCGGATAGAAGACTGATACATTGAGGAGCTGAAACGGCATGGATTTGGATCAACTCCAATCCACTTTGCGAACTTTTGAGCTCGCCTGCACTTCAATCCAGGTAGAGATCGCATTTCTTTGTTCCATGAGAAATTCACATTTCATTGATTTGGCTGCAAGTGCTAAGTAACTCATTTGAAATTGCCTTTTAAATATTATGATCGCTTAATTTGTCAACCAGTATGCAAGATTGCTTGTGTTCATTCGAATTTGTCCTGTACGGATGTTTAAAGCACGGATGGTTGAGTAGTTGAAAGCGTGTATTATTAACATTGGAGCCAGGAATGTCCATTCCGAAGCTTGCATATAAGTGCTGGACATTTCTAATTCAATCACACCTGTTAAACATGTTTTTTTATGCTGAACGAATAGCTGCTAAACATTAAGTTCAAATTGAGAGAAACATTTGTTATAAGTTCTCAAACAAGTGGTCAAAGCGCCATGTTTTGCTCTCGAGGCCTGATATCTTTATGTTTTTTATTTAGAAATTTAAATTAATATAATCGACAGGTCACATGTATTGTTTAAATGTAAAGCATTTCATGGTTAAAACATGCATTAATATTAACTTTGATACTTTTGTCTGCCTATTAGAAGGTGCATGGTGATCCAGCAGCTGAGGCTGTTATTTCATCTCTTAGTCAGTCTGCTCGGCCATACCGGGTATGCCAATTCATTCTGGGTAAGTTTTCATAACCATGTATGACTAATTGTCTCTGCTTCTCTCTTGTTATCGATTCGTTAAATGTAAAGTATTTTTTCCAAGTCTTGAAATCATTTACTGGGAATTGATCAAATGATCTGACATCATCCAGCTGTTTAAGCTAAATAAATGAAATCAGAAATATAGATATGTGCATAACTGCATCTGAAGTTTCTGAAAAAAAAAAACGTGAAGATTGTTTGTAGACAAAAGGGGAAGAGGAAAATGCTTAAACCATATCATTTGAAGATGACAAGTCAGCAACTTATAGTATGAACTATAGCATCTAGAGTAAACCTTTGACAATCAGCCAAGTCATTAAATGTTCAGCTAAGTTTATTAAGTACAGTTTAGTTTTCTCTGAATGGTAAGAAGAGGTTACAAAATACTCCAGTTCTATTTATAAAATGGTTAGCTATTATGAATCAAACGAGTTCTTGGTGAAATCACTCTGGGTTTTCCAGTCACACATTTTTAACTAGAAAAGTTTTGTCAGGGTGATCATAATTTACTTCACAATTGCCAGGTAAAAAAAGTGGGATATATCTCACAACAATTGTTCATTGCATTTGCATTCCTGGAAAACCAACATGTGATTGTCTCCATTTTGACTATTTTGCGAGGGTCTTAAGACAAAAAACCTCCAAGTGTACGCCACATGCGTTTAGAGAAGTGTGAATGAAGTTTACTTGCGATATTTGAATTTAGAGAAGTGTAAGTAAAGTGTACATATGTTGTTTGAACTGACAACACTTGACTTCTCCAGAGCACTCTCAGGTGCCAATAGCACGGTTTCAGGCTGCTGGAGCACTTAGAGATGCAGCTATGCGAGAATGGGTATTTCTTGACAATGATGATAAAAGGCACTTGATAAGGTAAGCTCGAGGTTAAAATTCCAAAAAGGTTTCCATGTTTGTCAACGATTTACTTTTATTGGATATAAATATAAATGAAATGTTAAGAATATCTGTCACAATTAGCTCTTGATCCTCTGCTAAGAGCATTATCCTCTATGTTTCACATTAGTTCAATTAACATCAGCTCATTCTCTCTTTGTTCCAGTGTTTTCTAGCATTAATATTTTTTGGTTATTGTCTTTCTCATTGTCTGTCTAAGCTTTGACAACATAGGTTTTTCACTTTCGTAGATGTATTTACTATTGAGAAGATTTCACACTTGGCAAGTTGGCAATTATTTCATCCCTTAGCTTTATGCCTTTATGTACTTCTTTGTGCTCTTAGTGCTATGATTTCTTTAGAAGTAGTTAAACATCGTAAAGCATACTCCCTCCGTCCCAATTTAAAAGGTCCCGTTTGACTTTCACACAATTTAAGAAAATGGCACTGTTGGGATACTATTTTGCACTGTTTTGCACTGTTTTGTTTACCAAATAAGGAAAGTGGAATGTTTATTTTGGGACAGAGGGAGTACAAGATAGTGAACATGGAAAATACACATTGATGTATATATAATCTTTTGTCATATTGAGCCCTGACTTATTATTTTGTTTCATAGAATGCTTGTACTTTTTAATTTTTTTAAATTGTTCCTTGTAAAGTATCATTATAAAGTCTTGGAGTGTTGGGTGATGCATCAGTATTGCTACATACTTTGGTTTAATGTTTTCTTTATTTTCAAATTCAAAAATCCATTTACTTTTGTCACGTGCAGATCATTCCTTCCTTCATTCATTGTCTTTGAGCACAAATAATTGGTTGATGTTTGTGTGTGACCAGATCCTTTATAGCTTTGTGTTTCATCACAAGTCAAACCTTAAGACAACCTTTAGAGGGGTTCCGTGTGATAGATCCAGAAAGCATATGGGCCCAATGTGGAAATGTGTTAGACTCTAGAACTAAATATGCCCGATAAAACAAAATAGAAGGTCAATGGCTCAATAGAATAAATCAGAAAGTCGTAGTGGCCAAATGAGATGTTTTTCTTAAGAAGACCGTCACATTGCCAGTGCCAAGTGCCAACATACTCCCACCCTCTTCCTGCATGGTCTTTTTGTTATATAATAATAAAGTAAAAACACTAAGCAAATCTAGCAACCTTTCTAAACAGTAACAACTATAATGACAATGATGGATCACTAATCACTTCTCCCCTTTGTTGCAGCTTTTGTCTTTGTTTTGTTTTGAAAAATGCGAGTTCATCCGAAGGCTATGTCATATCAAAAGTTGCTTCAGTGGCCTCTCAATTGATGAAACGAGGATGGTATATTTCCCTTCACCTTAGAGTCGTGTCACCACTGGCCTGTCTATGTGTCGAGAGCTGATTCATGAAGTTGACTTTTATATGAGTTTCTGCAGGTTGGAATTAGCCGCTGTTAGGGAGGCATTTTTGTCTGAGGTACCAAAATATATCCTCAGTCTTGTTCTTTAATTAGTTATTTCAGCTTAATACCGTCAATTCTATGAATCTGCAATGCTCACTCCCATGTATGCACACACAACCCACACAAGATATGATTAATTAAAGAAAACTTTGCAGTGTATCCCACACCTATAGCATTTTCCATAGATAGCTGGACAGTGGTCACAAATGTGAGAGCCTTAGACGCCCTTTACTAACATAACTTTTCCATTTTTTCTGGAAATGAGAAACACATTTACTAATTGTATTTTCCTAATTTAGAAAACAAACAGAAAACATGTTTACTTCACCGTTTTTTAATTTAGAAAGCAGAAACTGTTCTTCAATATCTACGTTTTCCCAGAAAACTAGAAATCACTTTTGATGTGTTTTTTTTCAAAATAGAAAAGAGTTTTTCAAAATAAAGTTACTCCCTCCGTCCCAAATTGAGTTGCAAAGTTGACTTTTTTGGGCCAAACAGATTCGTTATTCACTTAATTAGGATATCAATACTTAATTAAATTTAATTTGGATTTTACAACTTTATAGACATTTTAATGGAGTTTCTGAATATATGTAAATTTATTTATTAAAATTTATTTAATTATCAATAGGGAGAATTTAACTTTAACGTTGGTTGACCAAAAAATGTTGACTTTGCAAAACAATTTGGGACGGAGGTAGTATATTACCTAAAACTACTATGGTGACTGCATATTCCACCAGTGATGATCCCTATAACACTAAGAGTCTGCTCATTGCCATTGTTAGTGACCCCACCACCCCACCCACCCTACCTAACCCTACCCTCATCCCGCTCACCTAGCATGTCCTGAACCAACTGCAACCCAATCTCTACAAGTACCACCAATATTATTGGTTTACTACCATTAACTATATGTCGCTGATTCACTAATTAAATGCTGATCACTGCTATCTCGGTCATCAGTGACATGAGACTGGAGGTGTAAAAATCATTGTTTTTAGGGAAAGTTCCCAAAATAGGACTAAAACTGTTTGATAATTCCAAAATAGGACTGACATGTTTTTTATTCCGAAAATAGGAGTAATTACTGTCAAGTTTGGAAAATACTGTCATGTTTGAAGTCTGGTACTGCCAAAACATGACAGTAATTAATCCTATTTTGGGAATAAAATCATAGCAGTCCTATTTTGGAATTTTCAAACATTTTTAGTCCTATTTCAGGTAATATCTCTTGTTTTTATTTATATTTTGGTACAGCAATGTTGTGTATAAATTTTGGCACAATAAAATTTGACACACCACCTTTTTGATGTGCTGTAATTGTGTTAGTATACTGAAACTGTCAGTGAATGTTCAGTGTTTTTTTGGCACGGTAATGCGGCATCACTCTGAATTTAAAATAAACCAAAATTTTCAATGTGCCGATGATATGAATTTACACATTCACCATACTCTACCAAATCAACCCTATCACGGACCACCACCAACTCTAGCAATGATTGTCACTACCAGCTTTACGACCACCAATGTTCTAAAATTCGCTAGGCGTTAGTTCAGAAGCAGAGGGCTGCTTAGTGCCTAGACCGACTAATGGGCGACTAAGTGTGGACTATGGAAGTATGGAGCATTGATTTTTTATGCCTTAAGTCATGTATATTGTCATGCACTCATGTGTATGCTCTAAAATGTTAGAAGCCTCATGGAATATTATAAAATAGCCATAATTAATAAAGGAAAACTATCAATTTGGTCCTTGTACTATCACAAAAACGTCAATTAAGTCCTCGTACTTTCAAAAAAATCAATTATATCCCTGAACTTTTTAAAAACCTTCAATTGAGCCCATAAGCAGGTTACCCGCCACGTCGGCAAGTCACATGCTAACGTGGCACACACGTGGGAGCCCAATCATTGGTGACTTCGCTGATGTGGCGCATGCGTGGAAGCCCGGTCACCCATTTATTGACGACATGGCGCATGTTGAAATATAAACTAAAATGATATTAAAGATGGAGAGAAAGATTTTCTGTGTATTTCATTGGAGGGTTAAGTCCCTATATATATACATTACAAAGATACAATATTCCTATAAGATGCTATACAATAATAATATCCTAGAGTATATTCCTAAATTATTCTAAAGCATATTCTAAAGATAGAAGAATATTCTAAAGCATATTATACAGTATATTCCAATGTCTTTCACACTCCCCCTCAAGTTGGAGCATAGATATTTATCATGCCCAACTTGTTACATAAATAACCAACACGAATTCCATTTAGTGCTTTAGTGAACAAGTCTCCAAGTTGCTCTCCAGTCTTCACATATCCTGTAGAGATCAATCCTTGTTGTATCTTTTCTCGAACAAAATGACAATCGACCTCAATATGTTTTGTTCTCTCATGAAACACTGGGTTGTTGGCAATATGTATAACGGTTTGGTTATCACACCAGAGTTTAGCAGGCATTGGTGTCTTCAATCCGATTTCACTCAATAAATAGTTTATCCAGATTATCTCACATGCCGATTGCGCCATGGCCCGATATTCTGATTCAGCACTCGAACGAGAAACCACATTCTGCTTCTTACTTTTCCAAGAGACGAGATTACCACCAACAAAGACGCAATAGCCAGATGTGGATCTTCTATCATCTTTAGATCTGGCCCAATCAGCATCTGCAAAGCATTCTATTCTCATGTGATTATGATTTTGATAAACAATACCTCGTCCTGGTGTCCCCTTCAAGTAACATAATATATGCTCTACAACATTCCAATGATCAACTGTCGGAGATGACATATATTGACTTACTACACTCACTGAGTACGCAATATCTGGACGGGTAACTGCGAGATAATTAAGCTTTCCAACCAACCTTCTATATCTTTCTGGATCTTCGAATGGCACACCTTCATGTGTGAGCTGCACATTGGGAATCATGGGAGTATTGCTCGGTTTTACCCCCAGTTTCCCTGTTTCAGTTAGCAAGTCAAGCACATATTTACGTTGAGATAGAAATATGCCTTTCTTACTCTGTGTAACCTTGATCCCCAAGAAGTATTTCAATGATCCCAAATCTTTTGTTTGGAATTAACTATGAAGAAAATTCTTTAGGGCCAAAATACCTGCATTATCACTCCCTGTAATCACAATATCATCGACATACACCACAAGCAATGTGATACCTGATTTCGTTTGTCTGTAAAATACAGAGTGATCTGATTTGCCTTTTATCATTCCAAGTCGTTCAATTGATTGACTGAATTTCCCAAACCATGCACGGGGACTCTGTTTCAAACCATAAAGAGACTTGCGAAGTCGACAGACATTCCCATACTCCCCCTGAGCAACAAACCCCGGAGGTTGCTCAATATAAACTTCCTCCTGAAGATCACCATGCAAGAATGCATTTTTAATGTCCAACTGATGTAAGTGCCAACCATGAGTTGTAGCGAGAGAAATAAGTAACCTGACAGATGTTAATTTAGCAACATGAGAAAATGTGTCAGATGAATCAACACCATAGGTTTGAGCATAACCCTTTGCAACTAATCGGGCTTTCAACCGAGCAACGGATCCGTCGGGGTTAACTTTTATAGCAAAGACCCACTTACATCCAATAGACTTCTTCCCTGTAGGTAAGTCGACCAAATCCCAAGTACCATTAAGATCCAAAGCATTCATTTCCTCTACCATGGCATGACGCCATTCAGGTTGAGACAAAGCGTCTTTAACAGATTTGGGAATAGAAATAGAATCATTGGAAGCAATAAAAGAGCATGAGGCAGATGATAACTGATTATACGACACAAATGAAGAAATAGGATGAGTACAAGACCGTGTACCTTTTCGTAGTGCTATAGGAAGGTCAAGATCTGATGTAGAGATAGGATCTGAAGATGCAGGTACTAGTTCAGGACATGAGATCAAGATCGGATCAGTATCAGGATAAGTAACCGCAGGTGGAGGGTGATCTTGTGCTTTGTGTCGACGGGTGTATACCAAGTGTACCGGAGGCCTAGGCTCAAGGAAAGTAATATGTGGAACAACACCTGAAGCAGTGTACTCAGGTATAGTGACTGTGTAAATGAGTATATCATCATTCTCCCTACAAATATTTGTCTCTGTTGATGAAAAAGGTGTATTTTCATAAAAGGAGACATCAATTGAAACAAGATATCGACCCGTACTTGGACAAAAACATCTGTAACCCTTTTGAACTCGAGAGTAGCCTAAGAAAATGCACATTAATGACTTGGGATCTAACTTTGTTAAATGAGGATTAACATCTCGTACAAAACAAGTGTAACCAAATATTTTAGGAGGGATAGGAAAATTTTCATTATTTGGAAATAGGCACTGATATGGAGTTTTACCATCCAAAACAGCAGATGGCAATCTATTGATCAAAAAACATGCGGTAGACACAACATCTGCCCAGAAATGTTTAGGCACATTCATTTGAAATAGAAGAGCCCGCACAGTTTCTAATAGATGTCTGTTCTTTCGTTCAGCAACTCCATTTTGGGGAGGTGTGTCTACACATGAAGTTTGATGAATTATGCCATGTTGAGCCATATACAACTTAAATGAGGAAGACAAATATTCTTGAGCGTTATCTCCCCATAAAATACGAATATTTACATTAATTTGAGTTTTGATTTCGGCACAAAAGGCACAAAAGGCACAAAAATGAGAAAATAACTCGGAACGACGTTTCATGAAATATATCCAAGTCATACGAGAATAATCATCAACAAAGGTAACAAAATATTTAAAACCATTTTTGGACACAACAGGGCAAGCGCCCCACACATCAGAATGAACAAGTTCAAAAGGAGCATGTGCTCATTTATTGACTCGGGGACTTAAACTAGTTCTATGATGTTTTGCAAATTGACATGAATCACATTGTAAAGATGATACCTTATTAAATTGAGGATGAAGTTTCTTTAACAACGGGAGAGAGGGATGTCCTAGTCGATAGTGAGCCTCTAACACAGTTCCA